GCGTTTATATCACACGGGGAGGATAAATATAAGATGTTCTGGATGGATGACACAAACTACAGTAACAAAGGGGTGGTAGGCTACTGGAATTACCCTCGAGGATACCCTTATAATGGCTCCAACTATGTGAATGTCACAATGCCATTGAGGTACCCTCACACTAGGATGGCCTACATTTTCTTTGGACCAGGTGTGGATGTGCAGAGCTTTAGCCTGCGTGGGGATAATGAGAGGGTCGATATCTACCTGGCCACCAAGAAACACATCTACACAATTTACCTGTTGACTGCAGAGGTCACCAGCAAGGCACTTTTTGCCATGGTGCTATTGGACAACAAGAAGATCGTATTTGAGAAGGAAGCAGCTGAGGTTAGCAGCTTTCCGGAGGAAGTGGAGGAATATGTCAGCCTAATGGAGGACAACCTCCAACACGTCAAGCCCGTCTTCCAGCAGATGGAGAGGCACATCCTTGGACGGGTCCTCAACACCGTCAGCTTCCGAAAGACAGCAGAGCGCCTCCTCCAGTTCACTGACAAGAAGAAGACGGAGGAAGCCATTGAGAAGATGTTCGCTATGTCCAGAAAACAGAGCAAAGGTAAGGGGGGGAAGAGAGTGAACCTCGGAGATAAGCTCTCAGAGACTCTACCTGACATTTTTGCACAGATTGAGGTGAACGAAAAGAAAGAGAGACAGAGAACTTCAAAGCGCACATATGATGACAGTCCAGAAGAGGGCGATGCAGATACGCGGGCCTTTGTGGATTACGCAGACAGCCGCAAGAACAGAAAGGGGGGCTTTTTCAAGGGTCGCAAATTCAAGGAAGTTCACATGGTCGCCACAGCAGGAAGCGACAGTTTACCCAGCACGGCTTCCTACATACGCCTGTTCCTCCTCCTGAACATGGCCACCTTCTTTTCACTGCTGGCTGTACTGCTGACTCGCTTTAAGAGGGGTCGGAGTCTGTACACACAGAGATGTTTCTACAGCATCCTTCTGATCGACTGCTTCATCCTGCTGTACCTGTACTCCTCCTGCTCTCACACGCAGTGCTGACATCACGAGTGTACTGAGCACGCCAGCTGATCCGTGTGCAGTTTGAATGACCTCACACCTCACTCTGAGCCAGGTCTTATGACAGGATAGTAAGGCCACTGTTCCATAAAACAGAACTGAGATTTCAAGAAAAAAATGGGAAAAAGGTGGAAGGTTCAAAGATTAATTTTACAAGAAAAGTGTTGATGGTGTGAGACAAAGTTAAATCACAAATCCAGCTTCCATCACATAGTATGAGCATCTTGTAACATTACAGATGGTATCAGTCAGGCAAGTTTTGCTCCTAATCTCATGATTTGTAGCGCATCTTATTATCACCTGTATTGTTGTAATATCACAACTTTTGCTTTTATTCTCACGGGTGTGTAATAATTCCAAAGCCAAGAATGAAATCATGGTACAAACATTGACCATAACATCTTCTCGTACTGCGATACCCACATGGAGCTGTAAACGCCAAGTTAAAGAGTGCTAGGCTGATGAAAGCTGTAATGATGTCAGACTGCTCAGGTAAATAATGAACTTGAAATACAGAATCAGAATAATAGAGAGTTTGTTTGTGGTGTGTTTATTTTTCATTTCAAGCACAAAGAGGAAGCAGCATATATGTGCCAGTGGGAGGGCACTAAAGGTATCCACGGTGTACTTTCAGCTCCTCCCTTATTTCCACAGTGGATGGATCCATGTTTTGATTAGGCACAGAATTTATACCAGATTTTACTCTTATTTTCTAATTGTTATATGTATAAAAAACAGTAAATGCTAATGTTAGATAATTAATTTGCATGAGCTAATTTAATGTTTGTTGCTTTTGTCTGAGAAACATTCCCTGACTCAGGATTGGCAGAGAGTCAGCTTTGTGAAACACTGGCAGAAACTTTAAACCCCGCCCCCACCCACATATACTTCTAATAATTTGTTTTATTTGAATAAAAACAACTTTTTAGCATTTGAAGATTTTTATTTGAACTTTTTTGTGTACAAAACAATCTTGGAATGTTGACTTTAATATTGTGATATAAATTTTAAAGTTCTGTACTGCCCAAAATCACACACTTACCTCAGGGCTACTTATTGATTACTGATCTATAGATCAGGACTGCATTCTGGTAATGAGTGTACACTTATGGGAAAAAACAGTAGTCTTTTTTTGTCATCTCACAGAAAAATCATAGTATGAGACATGCAGTATACATAAACATTTACTGTAAGAGTTTTGTCTTTTCCATGTGGGTATTCTTGAAGTCTCTGGCTGTTTCTAACAGTGGCTTTAATTCTGTGGGATGTAATGAGTGTCTGTTTAGGAAAAGCAGTGATTCCAAGTAGGAATGTTTGAATTGCCAAGATAAGAGGAGACCACCTCTAATGTAATAAGCTTCTGTGGAGCTTTAGAGATCTGTGTGAAGGTGTTCTCAACTACAATGCCATCTCCACATTTGTACTTGAGATTTGTCTTGCTCTACAGAATTGATAGCAACACTTGTAAATGTATATATTTTATGTTAAAGCGAAAATATATTTTTTGGTCTCTCTTTTTTTTTTACCATTTGTAAATAAAGTTAGAACATGCAGAAGTTTCAATTCGCTGTGTGTTGTGTCCTGTAAGCGTGTTACAGTATGAGCAGTACTATGGCCACTGCGCCATTACAGCTGTGGAATCAAATGCTGATCAACACTTCAGTGTGTTACATCACTTATTTTTTCATGTACTGTTGGCTGACAGGGTTGTAATTTGGTGTAACATTAGAGTTTGGCCCAGTGAAGTGACCATACACAGTGCTAAGTTCTCAACTAACACATCATAGCTTAGCTAGCAAAGCTGTATTTATAAACTATACAGATGTAATGCACAGACACATTCATCTGATAATTATTGTTAGGTAACAGACTTCTTGGACCATCTCTAGCACACAATGCACAATATTATTTGTCAGATAGTCCTATTAAAAGTTTATTTTCCAAAAGATACTAAAAGTACAAACAGTCTGTGTGGTCTAATTCAGGGATGCTAGTTAGTAGAGGTGTGGACTAACATGTCAATAAAGCAGCCACACCCCTAACCTTGAGCCTTTCCTGAAAATATACAGTTGCTATGAAAGGAGAAATTAACCACAAAGGCCAAAACTGATGTTTTCTATCAGGCTGTGAAATGTTTGTGTGTTTAAAAATGAGTGGTTGACTTTCTTTTTTGGACATTAGAGGAACTGCTGTTTTTTGGCACCTTGTTTGCGTTATTGTTCAGCTCCAGATGAACACATGTGGAATGACCCCGGCACCCCCTGAAATATGCCTGTTCTGCCTCATTCGTAGTCTCCACAATGCCATTCCATTGCACACATCATGAGCGCAGCTTGTCTCTAAACACTGTAGCAGAAAGTGGTGGAGGAGGAAATATTTGGAGTTGTCACATTATCTGCTGAGTCCACACGGACAACAATGATAAGCAGTCTTCAGCAGCTCTCATATTCCAGCTGCACTGTTTTGTTGTTGTTTTGGAATAAAACCTACCTCAAGACAGTAGCTGATGTAACTGAAATATCACTGGCTGGCCTTTTATTGACTTCCATCAGCTCCCAGTTTGGGAGCTGATTCCTCCACTCCTCACAAAAATACTGTGAGCTGTTTCTTTATGATTGAGTAGATAATTACCTCCAGATGTGTTCCCAGCATCTTGCCTTACATGAAGACCGGCTTCTGTTGACCTGTTTAAATGCTTATTTATTTCCTTTACTTCAATAACAAATAAAGCCTCCCTGTGCCAGGCCTGACGGGTCAGTTCAGTTCATGTTTGAAAAACATGTCTGATGAGCTTGAACCTCAAAAAGAGGCCAGCCATATAACCCCACTTAGAATGTGATAGAGTATTAAATGCTGCCCTCTGCTGGACATTTTAGGGTTATAACTGATCTATACAAAGTGATCAATGACACCATAAGCTCAGGCTGTCTGAAGCTTTTTTCTTACTAAATCTCCTAGATCCTTTCTTGGGTTTACTCTGCTGTGTATATAAAGATGGATAGTTTTGGGAATTAAATAGTGGAAAAGAAAAGTGTCTGGAAACAGAAGATTCTTTCATCTCGACCTCAATAAACACTGTCCTAGTGAGTTTATTGTTTTGAATTTTAATGAGTACAAAGTGAGATAAGTTTATCTTATTGGATAAAACAAAGTTTAGGACACCCCAACTGGTCGCAGCAGATGGCCGCTCCTCCCTGAGCCTGGTTCTGCCGGAGGTTTCTTCCTGTTAAAAGGGAGTTTTTCCTTCCCACTGTTGCCAAAGTGCTTGCTCACAGGGGGTCATATGATTGTTGGGTTTTTCTCTGTATCTATGAAGCGCCTTGAGGCGACTTATGTTGTGATTTGGCGCTATATAAATAAAATTGAATTGAATTGAATATGGCCTTGCATCTTCAGTAGGGCTCCTTGGAGACATAGTTGGCTTCTCACCCTAATTGTTAAGTATGTTTTGTAACAAACAAACATACACATACACTTACGCTGTGTCCTTTGTATTTAGATTTTCTCCTATTTATTTTTCTTTCTCTCTTCTTTCTTCTCTCTGTCACTCTCCTTTCTTCTGTTTTACACTGACTGTTAAACAGCACAAATGGTAATGTGAACAATTCTTTTTTTAAATAATACAATAACTCTTAAAAGGAGCCTATAAAGAGTTTATCACGTGGCAAAGCAAGTGTGTTTGACACAACAGTGCATTCAGATCACGATTCTTCTTGTTAAAACTGGCAGTCAGGTTTTTACAACAAAACAAAAAGATATGTTTTATTAAAAACACTCAATTAAATTATGAGACTAATTATTTATTTCTTAATTTATTGAGTTAACTAAGACCTGTATCCAGCATCCTTACGTTTGGCAATTGAAAAAAAGACACGGGGAACAATAAACTCATCCAACCACACGGTGTCGCTGCTGCTTCCTCTGCGCTTTTCACATTTCCGCCTGTAAAAAGAACCTTCTCGCTCGCCGTCGGCAGTTTGAATCAACTTTATTCATAGCGGCCTTTGACAATTTGTTAAACATGGGTGCACGGGTTACGCGTGTGTTCAGGAATTACAACTTGGAAAACCGAGTGCACCGAGAACTTTCCAAGGACAAGCCGCGAGCGGCGCCCCGGCACTCGGTTAAGCTTCCACCGACAGCCTCCAGCCCGCAGGGTAAGTGAGTGAGTGCTAGCTGGCTTGTGTAACAGTTAACCCGGGGTCATGGTAGGCTCACCGTTCATCCGTGTGTCCTCAGAAAGCTCGGGGACGATTCTCACGTCGGTTTGTGTTTTTCAGAAGTGGATTCGTTGAACCAGAATAACGCGCCGCTGCTGGACCACCTCAGGTCCGTGTACGTGGAGTCCAGAGATCCAGCACCGGCTGCAGCAGAGGTCAGACTGACACTGCCTGAGTGTTTGAATGCTGTTACATCAGCTCTGCTCAATCATTCATTGTTTGTCAGTGTTTTTGCTCTCAGTTTGGGTCATTCAGACGTTTACAGGTCGAATCTTTGCAAAGTTGAGACATTCATGTATTCTATGTTATGAAGAATAAAGAAAGACATTATTGATTAACACTGGCTGTTAAAAGGGAACTGTCATTATCATCGCCAGCTACATATGTTTCATGCTTGGACTCTGCTTTGCATGAACACAGTTCAAAAATAGTCTTTGCTCTGTTCAGCTGCTGTCTGGAAACAAGCTGCCTAATCTCCTGCTGCTCCCTTTAAGACTGTTTTCTTCTAATTGGCTGGTCCTCGTAAACAATAGGTCGAGCTTTTGTGCTCACAAGTAAAAAAAAAATAATTTTTTTAAATTGTTTTAGAATTATCCATCAAAGTCTTTGTAATCAGGTGACAGAAATTTAAAAACCTAATCAACACTCATCAAACAAACCATGTTGATGGTAGTGAGCCACCAGTGATAAATCACCTGCAGCTCCCATGATTCTAGGCTTGGCTGTGTTGTAATGAATCAGTTTTATTCTCAGTTTTTAATTTTTAATTTGAAAAAGAAGAGTTGAATCCTCTGTAGCTCTGCCAGACCAATTTATACCACCATGGCTGTCCATAGCTGGATGATGGCAGGAGGACAGCTGTGACTGTGCTTCTATTTCTTAATCAGAATAGTCAAATATTCATGTGCATCCACATTACTTGAATTTGACCTTTTATCTGTTCATAGCTGTTCATATCTCATCCATGTGTGGTCCAGAGGACAAGACATTTCAAAGGGAACAACTGAATATGTAGATTCATGTTAGGCATGCACTAATCCAGTTTTGTCCAGTTATGTTAAAGTTCCAATAAGAGTGTTAAAATAATAAGCTTAATATTGCTGACGCTGAGACTGGAAGTCATTTTTTTCATATTTAAGATAGCATCAGAGAGTACATATTCTTTCCTGACTCTGTAAAATAAAATCTAACTAATGCATGCATCTAAGAGTATAAATGATGGACTCAGTATCTGTTAGATTAATAATGAAAAAAATCTGTTAGCATTATTTGTTACATTTATGATTGCAAATGTAATTAGGTTACCTTTATGCCACAAATTATCATAAAGGTAAGGTGGACGTCCTTGCTGTGTTGCGATAGGGGACTTTTTGAACTTGTGAATGACAGATTGGCTAATTTCCTAACTTCAAACCTGACTTTCCTGTGTGGGATTTGCATGTGCACTGGCCAAAAGTTTTTAAATGTTGATTTTTGTTATTCATAATAGTTATTCTTCACTGCTTGTTCTTCCCTCAGGTATCGAAGGACGTGACGGCGGGGAGAGAACAGCGACGACTTCTTAAGTTCAGTGTCCCAGCATCTCCGTTGGGCCTGGTGGAGCTCACAGATGTTCCCATTGGTAAACTGACCATTGCCGAAGCTCTGAAGGCTGTGGGCAGCCACCAGCATCAGCCTCAGACGTGGAGTCCCGAAAAGATCGCACAAGAGTATTCTCTGGACTTGAAAGAAACAAAAGCTCTTTTAGATTTCTTTGTCCCCTTCAAGGTTGAGATCATACCACCCAAGACTAAAAAGACCAAGCAGATAAAGGCTTCGTAGGACTAGAGTCTCTGACATCTCTGTGGAAAATGACAGCGTATTTAATTTATTTATGCTTTTCAGTGTTTGTCACTGCAAGAATGAGCTGATTGAAAGCTTGGACATTACATATTGCTGACATGGAGATGAGATCATAGGAAATTTCATGGGACATACTGCGAGATACAAAACACCCCTACAATAAACATGAGAATAATTGTAGATATTTAATCTTCTTTGCAATCCTATTGGTTAGTTATCTGATGAAAATAAAACAATCTAAAACTGGGTGATGTCATTATGCAGGTGGATACATCAAAAGGAGTCATTCAGCTCATTCAGTTTGGAAAGTATATTTACTAGATTTTCTTCATAGAGTGACATTCAGATGGACAGGCTCATATTTGAGTTATATGAGAGTCAGGATGTGATTAGCCTAGTTTAGCATAAAGACAGTAAGCAAATGGAAAAGGCTAGCACAGTTAGCGCTGGGATTCCCATAACTTGCATAACTATAAGTCCCCTGGGCATCTCAGTCAGGAAACCTGATCCAAAGATACAATTAGCAGGAGGAACTTCTCTAATTAGCATCTCTTCCTGTGACCTGGGGGGTGCACCAAAAGCCCAGCTTGACGTAACCAAGCTTGCCTGACAAAAGCCTTGGCAAAACCAAGAACTTCAGGGATAAATGCTGTTTTGTGTGTGGTTATCAGCTTTCTTTGTTAATCCAGTTTTATGTTTTGTTTTTTTTGTCCTTGTGTCATCATCAGTCAGTATTGAAGTTCATGTGATTACAGTTTTACAGTTACCTGCTTCTGGTGCACAGCTGAACTTGTTAAGGTATATAGAACTCCTCTCCTGGGTAGAAAACACATGTCACTTTTATAGAAAATTAGTAATTCTGTGACATTTTTAACATCAATACTGAGCGTCATTGAAAACAGACGTTAGCCTTAACAGACCTCGTTAACAAAACTGGGTGTAGCCAACTGTGATGTTGCCAGTTGATAGTAAAGTCATGTTTTGAACCCTTGAATATTTTAGCAAACACCATCTTGATGTTGTCAAATACATATTGAGTGAGGGGTGGATTTGTATGTGAGTCAAACATGAACTAAAGTCTGATGTTCTTAGTAAAAAAGAAACCATAATTTATGAGGAAATAGGTCAAGGGAGCTAAAAAGTCTTTTTTCTCATATTTTGCTAATCAGATACAGAATTTATTTTTGACTTCAGCTTCCATCTTTTATATATAATCTGTGGAGGCATTGAACTAAATCGCATATCTAAACGCAGGTCAGTAGTAGATGAAAATACAAAAGATCATTATTTTTCAACAATGCAGATCACATGATAAAACGGTGCAAATTTAGTGTTATTATTGTTTTAAGCTAATGGCTAACTCCACCTCTATACCTCTGCATACAATTCACTATCTGTGGTAATAAATACATATTTCTATTTTAGACCACTTTAAGATTCTACTGTTTAACTTTTGACTTGAGTTCACATAAGGAGTCAAATGTAGCTCTAGTTTGTCCTGTTTCAGAGTTATTATCCAATAATGAAAGCTATAACCTTGGAAGTTATTAGAGGAACCTGCAGTTCCTCTAATACTGTCACTTGTAGTAGTTAAAGACCTGTTTGCTGATACTGTGCTTGTATACAGGCTTGTATGATGAGAGTAATTCCACTGTACAAACCACACACAAAAGACAACAAACAGCAGCAGTCTGTTTCTAACTTGCTGAAATGTTCTTTTAAAGATGTCAGACAGTGTCGTGTCTAAAACGTAGCTGTTTATTACTACATATGAACTCACTGACATTTGTTCTGTTGACTTTTTTTTTGACTCCATCCACCCCATCCACCACTGTCACAGATCTGGATTACTCAGCATTCCAGGTAAGACAGTGATGCTCGGAAATGTTGTTTTGCTGACAAAGGAGATGAGTGTTGTCTAACACGTGGGTCCAAAGTTCCATGGATGGGGCTGTTTTTAATGCATTTTAATGTAGAATTCATGGAGCCACATCATGGAGTATATTTATGAGTGAAAACAATCCTGTGCCATTTATACCATCTGCTGCATATACGCACAATTTTTCAAATAAAAGGAAAAAAAAATCTTCAAATAATTGAATTTCTTGTACCGTCCAGCCACACTGCACAATATCCTGAAAACACAGTGATTACTTTAGAGCTAATGTACTGTCTTTGTTATCTTTACCACCCACTGCATGCATCCGCACATGCCCCAAAAAGCACTTCCGCTAAAACAAGCCACGCCCCACTTGCACAGTCTATCTTTTAGGAATATCCACTTTTGCCCATGACATTCTGTGTATGTCAGTTATCAAGGAACGCAAACCTTACCGGAAACTGTGTAGCCTTATCTTCAAAATAATGCAGATAATTGATTTATAAATCAAAAATGCAGAAACAACAATTTAGCCATACGCCATGAAATTTATTTTTGAGTTAAAGCTTAGCTATTTATTTTTCAACACAATCTTTAAAAAAAACCCCTATTCATACACATTTAATTTTTTTAAAGATATGTGACAAAATTTGCAATTACAAATAAAGTGGGACTTTTACAAGAAAAACTTGTTTTTGAAAAATCCTCATCAGATGATTTTCAGCGCGAGGCAGCAAACTGTTTATACCATGCGGAAGGTTGAGGTGGGACAACTGCAACAGCATTTAAGAGCTTTTTGTACTGTTTATAACATAAACCACATGAAAACAACCAAATCAACTTTACATCCACTCAAAAACACTATTTAAAAAAACACAACTAGTTCTTTATTTTGAAAGGCAATATAGGAAGTAGTGGGTGTCTGCGCCTTCCCGCAGGCAGCAGCCAGTGAGAGTAGTTTAGAACCGTATGAGGAAAATCTGGGCTCCGTACAGTAGACGCTCACATACAGTGACACTGGTACATTTGTCAGTGGAGGATGGGCCGTTCACACCTCACATATGGACGAAGGAAAACAAAGATTCGAGCAGGAAACCTTCCGTTTTCCCGCCGCGGATAAGCAGCTGTTGCTGGAAACAAAGCCGTTCTGACCAAACACAGATTTCACTTTTTTTTTCTTCTGAGTCTTCATTTGTGGAGGTGGTGGCATCACCGGCCGTCGCGCTGTTGCCAATATATATATATATATTAAAAAAAAAAAAAGAAGCTAAAACAGGGTTTTTCTCGGGCACATCAGCAGTTATGTGTCTTTCTCTACACCGACGACCATGAAGATTTTTGGAGGTGAGATGCTCCATTTTCCGGACTGAGCTTCTGTACTTGAGCTGCTCCTGAGCTCTAGCATGGGAGAATGAAGCAGGTAATAATATTAGCGAGTATACTTTAAACCCGACCAGCGGCGGTGTAATAATGACATTCATGTTTTGTGTTAAAACATGAATTAGGCCGTTTGTTCAGAACACCCACTGTTCTCGTCGCTTACAGTAATGTGAAGTGTCTGTTTATTTTCTCGGTCTCTGAGCTTGAGTGGATGGCTCCAAATCACCGAATCCTGTCGAAACAAGCGGTTTCATGCTCTGTGAAACAGCGTTCGGCGAGCTGCTTCGGCCTGGCGTAAATAGCTGTGAGTTGGGGTGGATGAAGGGAAGGCCTGGTCTGTACTAGGCACTAATATTCCATTAAGGTCGTTGTTCATCTGTCTTTGAGGGGTATCTACCGGTGCCAAGTACCAATCCAGTACCAGTGTTCAATAAGCTCCAGTCAGTGCGTGGAAGAGACTGGAAGCCATCCAGGGAACATCAGCCTTCACTGAAACATTCTTTTTCTGAGTTTATAAAATAAATGTAGCAAGTAAATGCATACAGCAATCTAATTTTACAGTTTTTTTTTTTAATTAATACATTTTATTTTACAAAAGGCTAACAGTGAAACAAATTAAAGTAGGTATTCAGTAGGGGTGGTGGAAAAAATCGATACTGTGTAGTATCGTGATATTTTGTTTGCTAATAATGTATCGATACAGGGACAGCAGAAATCGATATTTTGTTACAAAAAACGTTTTTGTGGACTGGAACTCTGACTTCAGAGCATGTTGATCAGCTCCTTTTTCTGAGCAAGAATCCTGACATTCCTTCACTGTCCAAATGTGTTTAACTTTTTTTTTTGGTAGCAATAAACATGACAGTTTACGTATTTTAATTTAAGACATGTTTTATTTTAATTAAGTTTAAAACTTTTTTATTTAATGTAAAATTATATTTTGTTTTAATTAACTTTCAAATTCTTCAGTTGCTGAATGGGCTGCATAGTTTTCATAAATTGCATAGTTCAGAATAGCTATAATTGTACCAGATGGTTGCATTCAGTTAAGTTGGACTAGAATGTAATACAAACCGTTCAGTTTGTCAACAATAAAACTGACTGAAATGAGAGAAAGACTGAGTGCGAGACTTTGATATTAGATAAAATGAATATTGATAAAGTTTACCTTTATGTACAGAATCTGAATATCGCAAAATATTTTTAAAAAAATCGCAATAATATCGTATCGTGCGTTAAGTATTGTGATAATATCGTATCGTGGGATGTATCGTGATTCCCACCTCTAATATTCAGTGTAATTTCAGCTTGGTGTGAGGGTTGTATGGTTAAGCATAAAGTGGTTGAACCAGTTAGTAAAGTTGGAGCAACCCTCACCAACCCTGACTTGATAATCTGGCTGTAATGCACGAAAAAGCAGTAAAACTGTTAAACTTGCTGCAACATCTGACTTGTGAGGCAAATATAACGCAACAGTATACTGCTGTCATTTACAGTTGCACTTCTTCCACTCAGTCTGACAGTGAAATTATACTTTGTTAAAACTAGGTTATAGGTACAGCGTAGCCACAAACCCTTCTGAACCCCTTTGCTGTAACTGATGCTGTAGCCTAACATGCACTGCCCCCAAAATGTAACTACATGATGGATGATGCGGTCTGCAGCGGTTGTGATAGGCTGTTCAGTGGTGTTCATTTCTTCCATGTCTATATTTTGCTACGTTTTCTGCGGCTGCTATTTTTCAAAATGTCTGGAAGAGAAAGGATTAACTCAATCAGTTGACAAGAGGCAGGTAAAACCTATTATTGTTAGGCCAGTATTATGGTCTCCAGTTATGGCAGATGGCCACCCCGGTTCTGCTGGAAGTTTCTTCCTGTTAAAAGGGAGTTTTTCCTTCCCACTGTCGCCAAAGTGCTTGCATCTTGAGGCTATTGTTGTTGTGATTTGGCGCTGTATAAATAAAATAAAATTGAATTGAATTGAATAT